ATCTGTACTCATACCCATTTAGAGGGGCCCCTTTGTCCACGTTTTATTCAAGTGACATGAACTGAAGGGTGTTTGGATCTCTACATCAAACTCACAAGAACTCACTTTTCTGTAGGCCAATTTTGAYACTAGGAACAGGGTGCAGACACAAGCACCTACAGAGACACATACACAGGTGTGCAACACACATGAAACAGACAGGAAACACGTTTGTTTCCAGCAGGGGACAGATCTCCACAGCTAGAGGCAACAGCTACACACTCATCAAGGTCTGAGATTTCCCCTTCAGAAATCAAAATGGGGCCTGTCGCAGATTTCCACAGTATGACCCAAACATGAAAGGGCCTGCAGCTGGGAACATTAGAAAGAGTCTGCAGTCCTGGTGGACGCTGAAGTCAAAGGTCCAGGGGGCCACGACCCTCCATGGGGCACATTTATTTCCACCATTACTCTCATTCATTTCCCCGCACAAGACTCTTGAAAGGAAACGKTATACATCCGGGCTCTTCCCATAGTTCTTCCCTGTCCCCAGCCCTAGGATTTTTATTCCCCATTTTTCGTAGGCTCCTGTCATTGATTTTCCTCTTGTGAGTGAACCTCCTGYCCTCTGTGTGCTCAGTCCCTCTTACCAGGGATTTCTCACACACCTTGGGACCCCACCGTGCGCTCAGTCCCCGTTCCTACKGATTTCTTGCCCGACCACCTAAGGACTAAGTACTTCTCCCTCAAGCCCAAGAATGGATTTTCTAATTTTGATCTAGGTACACAATCAGTGGGTGCCTGTGGTTCTTGTCTGGGCCTTTTCCCTGTGTTGCAGATGCATTTATTTTAATATTTACTTTTAAGTTGCTGATTACACATTTATTTATTTATATGTGGTGCTGAGAATTGAACCCAGTGCCTCATGCCTGCCAGACAAGTGCACTACCACTAAGCCATAGCCTCAGCATCCTTGATCCACTTTCAGTCCACTTTGGAATTTGGGTCCTTGGTTGGCCTCAGGGTTGCCATTTTCCTACCCTCACCAAGGCGGGGGCAACAAGGCCGTGGGAAGCATCTCCTCTGAGGAGGGACCCTGAGACCACTATTGGTTATAGACCCTCATGCCAGGCTCCAAAATTGTTAGAAATACCAGGTGCCACAAGAAGCCAAAGGTGCCAGGAGGTATGTGGGCAAGTCACTCCAGCCAGAAGGTCTCCAACACTGCCTGAGAGCAGGTGTGCCAGGTAGGCTTCACCTGTTACCAACAGCACTGCCCTGTGCCCCGATGGGAGGATTCAGGACCTTCCGTATGATGCGTAACTTGAAGATTAGGGCAGCTGGTGAAGTGCTGCAATTGAACTAGGTTCTAATGGAGCCAACTGAGCTGCACACACACTGCCCTGGAGGAGGAGCTCAGGCTGCTGTGCCACTGGAGCCAACTGAGCTGC